GTGCCATGACCCTCCAAACAGGGGCCCAGGAAGTCGAGACTAGGTTGGTTTGAAGTTTCTAGATTGTAAACATGACAAGGAAGGGTTTAGGGTTTAGGGTTTAGGGTTTAGGGTTTAGGGGTTTAGGGAAGGAAGCCTACTGATGAGCAATTACTGAATATTCAGGCTTCTATATGTGCTCTTCACGAAGGGGATTGAACTCTCAGTCGCCAAAATCCTATTGTTGTGAAACATGCTGAGATCCTTACACCACGCCCCAGTCCGAAAATAACTACGAGTAAACCCCAGATAAAGGATCAGGAGACTTAGTAAGTCGGTTAGAAGTAGAATTTGGAGTAGGGTAACCCAAGTATGGTTTCCCCAAGACCTGAAACCCACAACCCTAAAGCAGTAACCTACCCAGACCCTCAAAAAGATGTAAAAACTAGATCCCCTCTTTAGGGACCCTAACTACTAAAGGGTACTTTATAGGAACCACCTTAGGGGATCTATTTTTTAGATCCTTTTTGGGGGGGGTCTGGGTTACTGCCCGGCGTGATCTTCCAAGCAGACCATGAACATTCAGACGGCAGAGCATTGCAGTCTAAGCTTCTCCTTCAGTCCTAAACCTCAAAATAAGAATCGTATTCCCTCATAATCCGCATTCTGATGACATAAAAGCAATATAAATATACATATAAATAAATAATTAAATAAATAAATACATAAATAAATAAATAAATAAATAAATATATATATATATATATATGAAAAGGGAACAATAACAGGATCTAGAAAACTCCAACACCTTATTCTGATATTGTGATCCCTCCGTCCTAAGCCTCTAGGCTCGAATCATGGAATATTATGGGGGTTGAATCGGGGTTGAAAACTATTTAGTCCGAGTACAAAGCTAGCGAGTACAAAGCTAGATTCATGTTCCCACATAGCCGATACAGAGACAGGTATTTGGTATACACTGTTAAGAATATACTCCAACATGCTATCCTGATTGAAGGGCCTTGTATCACAGACTGGCTCAGCCCTAAACCCTAAACCCGCTCAGCCCGCCTTCGATGAAGTCGGACTCTGCAAGGCTGTAGAGCCGGGCACGCTGAATCTCCTCCTTGGAGCCCAGGTGTAGCAGGGTTAAACAGGACCCCCCCCCCAAGTACCCTTTCATAAAGCCCTTATAAGGTTCATACAGCATCGTACCTTTATAGCGACTGTCCAGGGGATATCAGGTTTCCAAAAACCCTAAGGCTCAAAATAGCCCAAAAGCCCTCTCTAGGATGGTCTTTGGGCCCAAAAGCCTTCGAATATGAGTCGCTAGAGCCTTAGGAAAGGGTGAGAGACTGCAGGCGGATGAACACTACATCGACGTTTCGCAGGTCGTGCCTGCAGGTTTCATTCTCCGGCTCCCTCAACTCTACAAACCCTGAAATCTTCAGCCTCTAAACCCTAAATCCTAAACCCTAAACCTGCAACCTTGCAGTCTTAACCCTGAACCCTAAACTTTCAAACCTTAGAGCTTCATGCGGGTTTAGGGTTGAAGGTTACGTGTCATTTCCATGCTTCGTCTTATAGGAAGTCTATATATATATATACACCTTATAGAAGCCTTATAGAAGCCCTGTATACCTTAAACTCCTCACCTGTAGTTTCCTTTGACGTAGGGGGCTTGGGATGTTGGAGGTCTGATGCTCCAACGCCGCCTCGACCCCGACCAGGATGGCATCATTGAGAGTTTAGGGTTTAGGGTTTAGGGTTTAGGGTTTAGGGTTTTGGGGTTTAGGGTTTAGGGTTTAGGGTTTTGGGGTTTAGGGTTTAGGGTACTATAGGGGCCTTAATAGTTAGACTAGCCCATTATACTATATTCATAATAAGGATCCCCCAAAACAATTTAGGTAATTATTTAGGCCCCTATACTACATCATGGCATTTACAGCCTTTCTGAAAGTTCCCAGTTTACGACTCCATGATAAGAGCCTAGGGTCCCAAGGTCCAGCCCCGCAGGGCAGGAATGAAGGTTCCGAACGTAGAACTTTATGAAACTACTACTGATCATACAAATCCTGCATTCCCTTAAGAACCCTAAACTATGGGATTTATGGTATATTGCTTATTATGGGTAATGCAGGATTGATATCATCAACCGTACTTGGAGGCCCTTTTGACTTA